AGTAATACATATAAAGCATATATGTGAGAGGTGACTGCAAGCCAGTAAACAGCCTGGCACCATCTTTGTAATCTCGAGCTAAAAGGAAAATGAACTTGAAACAGAAATTAAACATTTACATAGATTGATAGAGAGCAAAATGTCTATACTTGCAGATTAACCAATTCAAATGGGGAACAAATAGTCAAATTATGTAGGATAATCTGTATGAAACACAGGGATATTCAGATCTGTGGAGATGACGATCATATGGGTAACTTTATCTCTTAAGCCAGTAAGCCAAATAACAACAAAGGAGATTTTTTAAAAAGAAAAATGACATGAAAAACAAAATTCAGCATTCAGAAGAGATATGAAAAAATAAAAACAATATTTACTAATAATATAGTTTATCTTGCATTTCTGAAAGAACTTTAATAAAGAAAATAGTCTGGAATAGAAAACTAAAAATAGAATGTTACATTAATTTTTTTTCTAAAAAAAAAAAATTAAATTGGCATGTGTAAATTTAGGCTGCTATGAAAGTGCATGAAACGAAAGTAGATCTATTTGAGTCTTCTCGATTTTTTTTATCAAGCGTTCATGATTCTCTTGTTAATTTTTATAAGCATAGGATCTGTGATTTTTAGAAACACAGAAGTGAAGGTGTGTTTATGCAGTGTTCATACAATTAAAACAGATTCCTGTTTGAGTGTACACAGCTGTGCATGGAAGTTACATAAATTATAATTATGAATATATAGGGCATAAGATGCACTGCATCATGTACACAATGGTGAGCATCATCATGGAGCAGGCTTTAAAGCTCATTATCTGCAGCAACTTTTGTACTGATGTCCGGATCATTTCCATTGAGATGTTTAGCAGATTTTTGCTGATAAATTAAAGCAATACTAATTTCTATTTAGAATTAATAACGAGATGACTGCTTGTTGATTGCAAAGAAATGTCAAATATTAATGCTTTCCTCAATATTTACAATTTGTGGGATAAATTGTGGGAAGTAGACAGGAAGTAATTATATTAAAGGGCATTTAATGAAAAGTGTGTACACAGCCATATTAGACTGGTATAAACACATCATTAAATCAGAATCTAAAGCCCAATTTTTTAATGACATCTGACCATGACTTAGCAGTACAGTTATCCCCAGCTACTGATATTGATTAATGGGCACATATTATCATGTCTCAGTATTAAACATATTATCATGTTTGCAAGACAGGATTTGCAGTGAAACTGGGATTAAAAGATCTGTCATGCAACTGCACCTCAAGAAGAAGCGGTGTCTCAAATCTGGTCGCCAACCCATAGAACTTTATCACTCTACTGGTAGATCCTGAAAATGACAGAAGAACAAGTACACGGAAACGCATAGTGATGTGTGTATTTTATTTTTCTTGACCCAACTGCTGTTTTTAAATGTCAATATCCAGGTGCAAGCAACAATTCAAAATCAAAATGCTTTTGTGATGCAAAATTAATTTAAACATCCAGCAACTATAATATGGCTACTAAAATATAGAAATCCGCTGTAAAAGTAAATAAATTACTAAATACTCTTGACACGTGAAAGTGTAAAGCATGCAGCCCACAACCAATGTGGAAAGTTATTGCATATCATATTTAACAAATCGCTTACTACAAATCCTATGTAATTTTGCTCACATGGATATTTGAATATTAATCAGGTGATGTCATTATGCTGCTGTGCTGTCAGGCAATTGTTGCATTGCATGGGTCCGTTCTTCGTACGTGGATTACTCAGCTGGATTTGGTTATTGACGATTTGACATTATCCAGGGTCATTTCGGTCTTCAAAACTGATTCGAGAGTTGTTGTCATAGCAACAGTTCTGGTAGCTCAAACCTAGTCGGAAGCAGGTTCGATTCACAATTAACAGGATTAGATCGGCTCAGTTCAAGCAAAGACAATACAGAAAGTATGTACCCAAATCTTATATTTTCTTACAGTAGTAGTTATATACACTTGGGAAAATAGTAAATATTTTTAAACTATATATTCATATATATATATATATATATATATATATATATATATATATATATATATATATATATATATATATATATATATATATATATATATATATATACACTGTATATATATATATATATATATATATATATATATATATATACACATATATATATATATATATATATATATATATATATATATATTAATAAAACTTATGCAATCTGCACCCCCACAATGAAAGTAAAAAGACTGCCACCTGGTGGTGCAAAGAGAAAACATTGATATGAACTTTTTAGATCGCTTTAGTACAATTTGTGTATAACAGACATGCACAATATGTAACTTTTTAAAAAAGCAATAATACATTTATGCAGTCATAAACATGTTTTGACAGTTTATATGCCAGTGATTTGATGCTTCACAAAAGTAGCAAGATGCTTTTGTAAACATCCAGTTGTTCTTTACACCGATTAAAAAAACAGCTACTATAATTCTACTATATGGCTACTAAGGAAAATCCACTCTAACTGTAAAACTGAATAAATTGCTCTTGACACATGAAAGAGCCTAGCATGCACACCACAACAAGGTGTAAAGTTATTGCGTATCATATTTAACAAACCGTTAACTTCGAATTCGATGTAATTTTGCTCACATAGATAATAGAATATTAATCAGATGATGTCATTACGCTGCTGTGCCGTCAGCCAATCGTTGCATTGCTGATCATGATTTCGAAGATCGATAGATCTGTCCTTCACAACACACACAGCGATCTCAGATCAGTTTATCCATACATTTTAATCTGATTCGCGAACTTGTTTGAAGAACCAAAATAGCGAGAGATCAGTTATCAAGATTAAAAGATCCAGGATCTGCCAAATCATCTTAGGTCATTTAAGCGAGGTACGAAGAACGGACCCCTGATCATGATTTTAAGGACCAATAGATCTGTCCTTCACAACACATGCAGCGATCTCAGATTAGTTCATCCAGACATTTTAATCTTATTCAAAAACTTGTTTGAAGAACCAAATTAGCCAGAGATCAGTTATCAAGACTATGATCTGCCAAATCATCTTAGATCATTTAAGCGAGGTACAAAGAACGTACCCCTGGACTTTGCTAGTGTTGCACAGAAGCAAAACAGCAAAAATTCCCTTTGACCCAAAAAATGACATTTTCAGGGTATTATAAATGATTTGATTGGTATTTTGAGCTGAAACTTCACATATACATTATTGAGACATCATTGTTACTTATTTTATATCTTGTAAATAGAAGCAAAATAGGAGCCTTTTAAAACTTTCTTTTTAGTCACAATACATGGAACAAGACAAGGGTTGTTCCCTTTAAAATATTGCCTAACATGTAAAATGTAGTGCATGTTCTTTAAAGTATACTGATATTATTTAAATGAATACAAGCTTATATTATTATTACATGAGGGTTTGTTTTATGGCACTCTTGTAGGTGCATCATCTTCAAGGATGAGGAGTGATGGCCAGTCACCTCTCTATCTGCGAGCCCCCATGAAAGCTCTCAGCCCTGTGGGGTCTATGTCTGCATTGCGACAGCATGCCAAAGGGCCACCAAATGCACAAGTTGGGCACACTGAAGCAATGAGGAGGGTTCAGTCCCCAGGTTCCAAAAATGGTGTTGGATATTCAGGCTGCAGGACTGCTGTTGTCACCAGGCAAACGCCTGGAAGAGGCATGACGCCAGCATCACCTTCTTCCAGAACTAGACTTCCACAGACTCCTAGAAGGTAACTCAAAACCAGATAAATACATCCCTGTCACACTCATTGTGAAAGTTAGGTGGAATTGATGTTGTTTTCTTTTTCTAACCATAGTAGGTCACTAGGGATGACCAAACCATCTGGCCACCTTACTGATGAATCCTGGAAAGATGGATGCTACTGAAGCTCGGAGAATTTTGTTTGTAAATTTCACAGAGAACTCCAGCGTGGTACCACTGCCTCAGAAGACACGGCAAAGGAAAATCAGCACAGAGGTCCTAAAACAAGAGTGATGATTAATCACAAGCCTCCATTGATAAGAGTAATAATGAATAACAATGGATCTGTTTCAGAGACTGGAGTATAGATGGTTGGCTAATATTTGCTTGTAACATACCTTTTTTTCATGTGAAAAGTTTGAAAAAGTATGTAACATTGAATAATGAAAAAATTTTACTCCTGTAGTTCATGTAATTTTTGTGACATGTCGAATTTAATTCTTAGATACTGTGGATAACCTGATTTTGATCCTGCATGTTTTTTAAGCAAATGATCTGTCATTTCTATGTAGAAAAAAGAGACAATATTTTAAATGATGAAGGACTAGTTGTATTCTGTTAAGGCAGACATTTGTCTGTCTGTATCATCAGGACACAATGGGGCAATTCTGAAGGATATTTTGTTTAAAATTGACATCAGGAGAAGGAAATAATTTATTTTTATTTACTTTTATTGTATTTTAATTAAGATCACAGCATTGTGCCAAGGTGCATAACTACTGGAACACTGTTTCTTAAAGTGCTTGCAGTTTATTACACTTTCACTATGTCTGGGTGTTTGAATATGAATTTTTAATGCCTGTATAATCTACATTTAAATCTACCCTAAGGTGGTTAAATTGGAAATATCACAGAGTATGCAATGATAAAGGAGTGCCTCAAAAAATTCAATAAATCTATTACAGCAATAAACCTAAGAGGAAGGCCATATCATTCTTATCAGGGATTGCAATTTGCTGGTCAAATACCTTGAAACGTAGTAGTGGACAAGCTGTTCTAACAGATCGTACATTCTGTGTTTAATATGTTGCATATTACAGAACACAAGAAATGAAGAAAATAGTTCAAGTCTGTGTGGGCCGATCTTTACAGGCAGAAAGCGCAGTGACATCGTTTGTGTTGACGTAAAGTGAGCCGCGCGTTCTCTCTGTCCCCTCCCTCTGCTGTTGTTAAAGAACAGTCTGGTTGGCTGAAACGGAGAAACGAGAAGTCTGATTGGTTGATGCAACAAATCGAGCAGCGTGATTGGCTTAGGCCTGGAAAAGATGGTTTGGGATCCTCGATGTACAGGCCGCAGTAGTGCTACCGTTGGAAAAATAATGATAATAAATTGCAACAGATTCGAGGGGATCCGAAACGCATCAGCACATTGAAGGCAGTCGGGCAATAGGTAAAGCATTTTGAGTTTGTGCGTCGTGTGTATAAAATTGTAGCCGTCGGCCTTCATGGGCCTGGCTGATCCCTCTGTTTTGCTCAAGCGCCAGGATGCGTTTCAATGCGCAGGAACATGCGTAAATTTAGTTCATACAACAACTGCGCAACACGTTTGTGGCGCATTAACTGGCCAGTTACGAGAAGTCACTGAAGATGTATACACGTTGCATTGTTGTATGAAATAATGGATTTTGTTAGACTCATTACGGGTTGACATGGTAGTTAGCTAATGCTATTAGCCCATTAGCATGTAGTGTAATGGCGGAGAGCAAGATGGCGCACTTACGCAGCTGCAATTGCGCAAGCATTAAACTACGTTTAGGCTGATTTCTAAGAGATTATCTAAACAAAATTTGGTAGCGTCATGCAACATATTGTGTCAGGCTGTTAAGAGTACACATACATTGAAACCATACAAACTTTGTGATTTGAAAACTCTTTTTCGCATTCTCCAGTATGCTTGCTCATGAAACCTACTACGATGAAGGCTTACCTCATGAATATTAATAAGTCTAACCAACGTTGCTTGGTAACTGTAGCAGTTAATCTCGCGTAACAAATTAATATTCATTAGTTATAGATCAAATAAAGGTCCAAACAAAACATGGCACAGTAGATCTGTGAATAACAATAATAATGAAATACATTAATCAAATATACAACATAACCTTAACCGGAAATGAGCAATTTGACGTATCATTAGCCAAGCCTTGGTCGTAGTAGCGTTTAGTTAAAAAAAAAAATAGTAGCGTTTAGTTTACATGACGACTGCCATGAGCGTTGCACTGACAACAGTTTAGATTCTGCGTCCATTAAAAAGTTACAGTTGTGTATTTATAGTAGACTTCCTTTTCAAAATTAGTTATGACGTCACGTTGGAAATCCCCTGACAGAATTGTTATACTGTCTGATTTACTGTCTGTAATTACAAAGGGCCCCTGTTTAATATTATATTACAATTGTAAAAATTTTTGAATATGATTTGATTGACATTTATTTATTTTTAGCCTTCCGAATCATTGTAGTTTTAGTCGACTAAAGTCTTGACATTTTAGTGCATTTTGATAATTTGGTATAGGCAATACGATTAATAATTATTCCAATCCATCTACTGCATTGCAAAATCACATTATTTTCTCCACCTTATTATTATTATTTTTTCTCATTACGATGTCTCTGTATTATGTTTGTCAGCACTGCAGTGTTGGTCAGAGTACTGTATGACTGACCATTAAAGCTCAACCATTCAAACTTTACCTTTTTATGTAGTATTTTTGCATCATAAAACACCAAGTAGACAAAGTTTCTAACATTTAAACATGCTCATGTTGTATTTGGAACTACATTACATTTGTAAACTACGATCAGGTTTTTTATTATATCAAACATGTTCTTATGTAGCATTTTAAAACTACATAATTTTAAATAAGATTTAATCTTTTTAGCTACATTTTAGTCTTTTTTGTCAGTAATTGCATATTAAAGTAGTCAGTGAGTATGTTTACTTGGACACCAATAGTCTTATTTTAAGGCAAAACTCTGAATCTATAATGTCTGTAATGTAAACACCGATTTGTTTTATAATTTTGTTAATTTAATTTTGTATAATTAAATTTTTTTTATTTTGTTTACTTATTTTTTGACTAATCCGAAATTAGATTAAGACGTGGAGTATGTTGATTTTAGTCGCATCATTCAAGTGCAGTACAGACATGTACACACCTTAATCAAACTGTTCCGTCATGTAGGATTTTTGACGCATTTTCCAATGGAAATACACACAGCTGTTTGACACTATTCTCTGCATCTACCGAGTCAGTAAAGGACCACAGACACCTGCATTGCGAAATACAGAGGTTTTCTCCCATTTGGCGTGTTGTATCAAATTCTATTAATGGCCAGTTTCCACTGACTGGTACAGTATGGTATGGTACAGGTCACATTTATCAGGCTTGCGTTTCCATTACCAAGGGAACTCTTTTGATGGGCATGGTGTACAACAGAAAGTTTCAGTCGATGTCATTCTCATTCGAATAAATGTCTACAGTAAAGCTGTACAGGTCACATATTATATGAGAAGCCTTTCTCACAAAACAGATGCTTTACACATATAAATACTTGTGTATAAATGTTTATTAATAACGTTTCTATGAACATATTTGATTATAACTGCAGATCAATGAGTGCGAAATAGCCTACTGTAACGTCTGCACTTATATAAAATAAATAAATGAACATATATGAACACATACAGCCCCTTACAGTCTCTGATATGTTATTAATTACAAATAAACTACACCCAGCATACATTTAGTTCTTATTTGGGTTAAAAAGCAACACGCAACATAGCCCACAGTCAGTGCAAACCTCTCATCTGTGTCTGTAATTTTCACCAGCATATGTAGCCTCTGTTAGAAAGTAATTCCATCATTCAGAGTTCATAATAGTCCAAAAGGCGATGATAAAAATGGCAGTTTGTTCATGATTCAGGTTGCTGAAACAATTTGCTCCTGTGTTTTATCGGGCTTCTCCTTTTTTTGTGCGTCACTCTCGCATTGTCCTTTTCTTTACTGAAAGGGTCAGATGATGGAGACACTTCAATAATCCCACACATTATTATCATCAGCTCAAGTAGTTCATTATTTTAAATATAGACGCGATCGCAAGCTCCCTGGAGAAAGCAAAAACCGCTCTCACTTTTAGACGGCCTTGTAAAACAACAACAGGACACGGCAGATTTTGTTCTTCTTGGCTGTGTGGCTGTACATCAAAACAACGACAAGGTTTGTTTGAGCTCGGGTCAACCGTGACTTGTTATTTTGTGCATATAGTATTACGATGTAATGTCTCGGCTGTGTATTTAAAACATAGAGGTTTCTTTCTTTTCATTCTGGCTAGCTCCACGAGCTCATAACGTACGTCTGTAACCAATCAGCGTTCAGCTGCACGTGTAGCTCCTCCTTTTGGTACCCTGTCTTGTGTTTGGTACCCTTTCGAAAGTTTGCCGAAAAAGTGGTATGGTTCAGTTCGATACACCTTTTGACAGTGGAAACAGCCATAAAAGCATACCGTACCACTTAGTGGAAACGGGCCATAAAACAACACTCTTCCAGCAGTTCATACTCTGATCCAATATCTCGTTCGTCACGGGAGGCATGCATGAAATGTTCCTGAATAAAAGCAAAAGTGCCAAACTGCAGTTAAAGTTGACAAATTAAAAATGAAACACCTGAAATTACATTAAACGCATGGTGACGCAATGACCTTAATCGACTTATGTGCTATAACATGTAAAATGGGATCATAATAGGAACTTTCAAATAGCAAACACTTCATATTATTGTCTTGTTCAGATTAGGGCAAATAATTCAATTACTGATGTCTATGTAAACCTAGTCACTGTTAATATCCAATAATACCTGCGTCGTCCCATCTTCATCTTATCGTAGTTTTGGAAAAAAGTTCATCAACAGATATTTTTTGCGTTATTTTCTTTAACACAATTATCACTGCTTGACAAAGACTGTAGCAAATGTATTGCTCATCATTACTTAATGTGCTTATTTTATTGTCATCTGTTATCATTAAATAAAGTTTTGCATAAAACTAAAATAGTAGTGACTGTTTACCCAATAATTTTAACCAGAATAAAAACTTACAAAAGTCTAATGCTGAGTTCAGACTGCATGATTTTAGCCCAGACTTTGACTCGCTGACAGGTTTTGAGAAATCGCAGATGAATGCCTGAAATCACGGGCAAATCGGTGCTTGTGTAAGCGAGTAACAAACACACAGAGTGAACTATTAAAGACGTGATCTGAGAGAATCACAGATGAGTCGCTGATATGCGTAAGATATTTGACATGCTAAATATATGGAGCGGTTGGCGATTAAAATCTTGCCGTGTAAATGTGATTTGGTTGAAAATAACATCGGCGATTACCTACAGTTAATGAGAGAGCAGCATTCAATAGTATGGGTACCTGCAGCCCAGCGGGAGAATGGGGAAGAAGTAAAAAGTGCTTCTTTTCAGACTATTTGGACCCAAGAACTTGAGGAAACTAGTGTCAATTTTGCAGAAACACCCGTGTCTGTTTGACGTGTCATCTAAGCAATATCACAACCAGGTCAAAAAAGAAAAAAAAGTTGTGAGGAAATTGCTAAATCCCTTAAAGAGCCAGGTGAGCAAAATAAGTAAATTTTCTACCCCACTAAAGGATTGTTTCCCATTATGTAGATAATAACTAAAGATACACAACGTGACCTCGCTTTGTTTCCATGTAACTTTTCGCATGGTTTGTGGACCGAGACAAAGTTGTCTGCGATTCTCCAAACACCTTATTGCATCTTGCAGTGTAAACAAAGCAGCAACGAAACGCAACCCCAGATAGTCATGCAGTGTGAAAACATCTGTGATATGACCACTTTGAAAATCCTGCAGTCTGAACTCGGCATAGGTCACCCACAGTTGACAGAGTAACTGCTGCATGCAAAAACTCAAAGACTCAACTGTAATAAATTTTATTAGATTTGCTTTTTACTTAATGTTTGTACATGATGTAGTTTGTTAATATCTAAAAGCATTCGAAGAGATGGTTTGGTTAAAATGTTATAAATCTTTCTGCTGCATCAATACCAGCTGCATTTCAAATTATGCTTGTCAAATTACGAGTTGATTTTCAGTTTTGGGGAATGTCCATTTAATGAACTGAAACAAATCATTTTAAATAATATGGTTGTGCAACAGTTAATATCCATATTTATATGGTATGCTTCAATCAGCTCTCAACCTCCCAAGGTTGTGAATCAGTTAGGTTGAAAAATGAGTTCGTTGTAGATAAATCAATTAGTTGTAGATAAATTGAGACACTGGGCAGTTAGGGGAAATGATGAGCTTGGTTTATTAGACATTGGGACACTGAGAGTGACAGTAATTCAAAACAAGATGAATAACACAACTCATATTTTTCACATAAATTTGATCAAGATTTAAAAAGTATGTTACAGATATATCATTTTATTGTTTCATGTACCAGCAACATTTCAATCATTAATCACTTATAAATGTTTTCTACATTGTTCTGTGCCTAACTATGTTCATTTATAATTAAAAATAGATGGCCGGTTCATTCCGCCCGGGCGACCCCAGATTAATAAAGGGACTAAGCCGACAAGAAAATGAATGAATGGATAAATGAATAAAAATAAATGATTATTTTAATAAAAAATTGTAGATTGATAATTTGATTCAATATTCATAATCAAATAAAAAGCAAATGAGAAGGGTCTTGAAGGAGGCGGGACATATCAGATACTAAACTAATTGGTTATGATTTGATGAGGAACTGAAGTTTGACGTGACATGAATGAAATTGTTGACCCATTTAGGCGCAAGTGACAAACTACAACCCTTACATGTTTTACATCTCTTAAACGTGGATTTTGTCACTGTTTTGGAGCACAGTAGCTTATCGATATTTTATTAATACTAGCATCAAACATCTACATTCCCTGGTTTTTATGGTGCCTTGGGATTTTTCACAGAGGAAACATTTTAATGCACTAAAAGAATTTTGTAGTTGAGACAGCCCTCATAATATCTGGCTTTTTGATCAGTGCCTTGACTATTGAACAAGGACGCTGATTGAGAGAAACTCATACTGAAAACAGTGAGTGATATGTTTGGAATATGTGAATATCTGTATTTGGATTTTTTTGTATTTCCTACCGTACAATATACAGGGGTTAGACAATGAAACTGAAACACCTAGCTTTAGATCATAATAATTTTTAACTATGGTGTATAGCAGGGGTCTTTCTAGAGGTCCGATGGCCTGCAGGGTTTAGCTCCAACTTGCCTCAACACACCTGCCTGGGTGTTTCAAGTGCACCTAGTAAGACCTTGATTAGCTTGTTCAGGTGAATTTCATTAGGTTTGGAGTTAAAATCTGCAGTACACCGGACCTCTAGGAACAAGTTTGGTGATCCCTGGTGTAGAGCCTTGCACATTGTCCTCCAGAATGGTTTGGTTGTGAAGTGCACAAGTATTAGGCAGAGGGAATGCCATAATATTGCAAACCATCACTTATCCACCTTGATGCTGTGTTCATCTTGGTGGTACGATTCTTTGGGGCTTCTCCACACCATGACTCACCTGAATGTGGGAATAACAGTAAAGGTGGACTCATCAGAGAACCATCCATATTTCACATTGTCCACAGCCCAAGATTTTTGCTGCTGGTGCCATTAAAAATGACAATTGCCGTTAGCACAAGTGACCAAAGGTTTGACTATAGGAGCCCGGCCGTGGCCTGTATATTGATTCTGTGGAGCTCCCGACGAAGAGTTTTGGTGGAAACAGGAGAGTTGAGGCACACATTTAATTCTGCAGTGAGTTGGGCTGCTGTGGTTTTATTTATTTTTTGGATAAAATCCAGTTTAGCACCCAGACTGCCCTTTCAGACTGCTTCCTCTTGCATTCACAGTTACTGCTGTTGGATGTGGTTCAGCCTTTTTGGTGATATGCTGACATTACTCGGGATACTCTGGTTGTTGGGTCACAGATGCGCTAGCAAGACACTCACTAACAATTTGTCCTCTTTTGATCTCTGATATGTCACCCATGATTGTGTGTGCATTGCAATACTTGAAGTAAAAGTATGTGCTATTGTTCTGCTACTTATACAGAATTAAACACTGTGCTTTTACTGGTGGAATGTGTGTTCAATGATGATTGGCCATTAGGGTGGTCAAATTTAGCCATAAAACCTCCAACACTAAATTGGCTAGTGTTTCAGTTTCATTGACCAAGCCCTGTATGTCCACAATTTAGTTTGGAAAAACTTGTTTCCAAAGGCCAGTATACACCGAACCAATACTAAACAGCTATCACTGACAAACCCAACTGCGTTGACTCGTGTCTGTTTCCACCTGAACCAAAATGCTGTTTGTGAACACACCAAATGGACAGAAACTGACTTAAACATGAAAATGTGCTGTTCTTGGCCTGTGTGGGAGTATATGTCTCTCTGCACCCGCAGAGAGCAGTACATGTTTTTTATTCACAATGGAAGGCCAGAACTTTTTTGGTGAAAGTGTAAACAAAGCAGTGTTGCAATTATCACATTAATTGTCATTTATCATGGAGGAATTCACTCCTGCAAATATGCTTGATAACCTAATAATCAATATTGTTTGCAAATATTTGAGAAATGTAGTGAAATTACAGCCGGCTTCTTTTTTTCTGAATTGTTTACTTGCTAAATCACTTTACTATGTCTCTCTTGCTCTAATTCATAGCCAAATAACCAGTCAAATTGCTCTCTTCAGCTGACAGCCGATTCCAATTTGACCTAATCACCATTGAGTTCCAGTGAGAGTCAATGTGCGTAACACACCAAACAAACTAGGTGGACAGATGACGACCAATAGACCAATAATGACCAACCGTCTACATGCTGTGTCCTGGCCTTAAAATTGCGGTCACACTGGGCTTTTCCTCACATAGACTTCCATTCATATGCACGCAAATGGGTCAGACCGGAAACGCAGGGTCATGCGTCAAGTTTCACAGGTTTTTGTGGTGCAAAGTTCAAGCTTGGTGAACTCTGACCTGCGAAATCACATCACTTGACAGCGTGAGATCAATCGAGGATCAAAACATGACATCTCTGGACAGAAATTTAAAACATGGAGCAATCGCTCGCTTTTTTAAATGTCCAATCTGGTTTAATCCCGCCCCTCTTTCGCAGCGCCACATGACAGAATACTGCATGCTCAAACTTAAATGTGACTGCAGCTTTAGTCTGCTAAAATAATTTGTTAAGTCTATTACACTGGCTTTTAATATTTGAAGGGTGGACTTAATGAAATATAATACCACATTGTTGTACAGAGGGAAAAAAAACAACATTTTATCTGAAGTAACTCACATAATTTATCATGGTTAGCCGGAAAATGTTGGATAAGATTTGGAAGCTTATAGTTTTGTCATAATAATTTTAATAACTATTTTCTTTCTTTGTCTTTGTTTCTTTCAGACATTCTCCTTCCTGATGAGAGCTTCAGGTTTTCTTAAAATTTGTGACACTTTCACGTGAAAGGAACTACTGTCAAATGTGAAGGTTTGTTGGACAGCATTACAAGCTTTTCTTGTTTTACTTGCAGAGCCACGTTTAAGCTAAATTTAAAAGAAATCTTTTTGAAATATGACTCAAGTGGTTATTAACAGTTCTAAATATGAGATATCAGAAATGTGATTGAAGTAGAATTTTTGTCTAGTCCTGTATTCACAAATAAAGTTATGGAGGGAAGCAGTGAGTGACTAAACATTTGTAAAATATTGATGAATACCTGTTTGTTAGTTGGTGGTTTGTTAATGGCTAAAAACAAAAAAAAATTCTGTTTTAGATAGTCATTTACATATGTCGTCTATTTTAGATATGTCGATGCTGTATACTAAGTCTGATTTTCTGCATAGAGCAGTGATGTGGGGCTACCTGTTCGACAATGGAAATTTAGCATGATTTTGGGCTCACTGCTTGAGCTCATTAGTCTGACTGTGGTTATTGATATCTGATGATAAGGCTTTTAATTTATAACACCAAAGCATTTCTCACACTTTCTCTCATTCATGTTCTTCGCATAATAAAACAGAAAATGAAATGTGTTGCAGGTGCTTTTGAAAACATTTGTGCCATTCCAGCTTCAATTCTTACAGCTCGTACGCATCTGCTTTTTGCTTGCTCTTAACATCAGCATTTTTTAAAATTGTTTTTCCACATTCAAACCAATCCAAGCAATTTTTACCCACATTGAGCAGAGTCAAATCACCCCCCTGACGTTAGATGGCACTTTGGAAGTCATCAAAAAAAAGTGAAAAACTTAATATCGAATCCTATTTGCTACTCTCATAATATACCCTTCCATACATAACTCCCTCCTGCCAAAAATTATTGTAGTTATGTTTATCGTATAGCTTTTGTGTTCAAACACCAATTAAAAAAAAAGCAGCTCCACAGTCAACTTGCATCAATTTATCCACCTATTTTGGGATATGTGCATAAAAAATGGTTGATAGAAATGCTAAGATGCACATAAATTTTAAAAATGCGAATAAAAAAACGTATGCGCATAACTGCGTAGGATAAATGTTTTATTTGATAAGAAAAGATGTGCATAAACTACGATGCAAACACTTTTACTAAACAAATTCTAGTATGCGCATTAAAAAAAGTCATGTGATTTTGTTATAAGAGATCATGTGGTGATAAAAATGTGTGTTAATGGACAAACCAGCAGGCTGAGCACATTGTAAATCTGAAATGTTATTTTGGTCATTCTAAAACGCCTTAATCGTTTTAGTATTAGTGTTATTAAATTAATGATTTTCTGAATTGTCAAGATCGTCTGTGCTCAACATCTCATACCTTCAAATGCCACCACACGTTCATTGCAAGTCAGCATTGTCTTTTGAGGCGCAAGTAATTTTATTAAATAAAGAAAAGATTCACGCAGCTTCTCCTACCTCAGCAAATTCCATTTTTTATTTTTTGATGTTTGGCACCAGTTAATCAGGAAGTGATGATTTTGTTCCTCTTGACTCATTGGATGGAAATGTTGCTTTATTTGCATGTCTTTTATGTGATAGTCCAGTTTTGCACATAAATGTAATTCACAACTTTGAATTAAAAAATAGCTTGTGAAACTGTGATCGCCTAGACCGTTTTGTGCTTGAGCGCCTCCAAGTCATGTGTACTGTAACATCAGCAGCTCCAGGCTAATGAACATAAGTGCTAATCTCATCGGAAGAGCAGCTTTGGGAATTATTTTTTTTTTAAATAACGCTTACACCTGCTGTTTTGTATGTTGGTGTGCATGAACACATTGCAATACCCCGAGCCAAAAGAGATTCATTCTTTCATTCATTTTCTTTTCGGCTTAATCCCTTTATTAATCTGGGGTCGCTACAGTGGAATAAACCGCCAACTTATCCAGCATATTTTTTTACACAGCGGATACCCTTCCTGCTGCAAATCATCACTGGGAAACATCCATACACACTCATTCTCACGCATACGGACAATTTAGCTTACCCATTTCACCTATACCAAATGTCTCTGGACTGTAGGGGAAACCGGAGCACCTGGAGGAAACCCACGCCAACGCAGGGAGAATGTGCAAACTTTACAAAGAAACCCCAGCTGAGGCTTGAACCAGCAACCTTCTTACTGTTAGGCAATCGTGCTACCCACTGTGCTGCCCCGAAAAGAGATTTACAATAAAAAAGTACTTTAAGCATAATATCCCCATTTAATTACATTTTAGATTTTTTTTGTCATTCATCAGTGCAGAATTATCTCATCAGAATTATGATGATTCAGAATAATTCTCAGCTTAATCCCGATACTTGCATGAAAATATTATAGTCCACAGCTCTAATCCTCATATAGCAGTAATTTAGTATTATATATTTTTTCTTTTACAGTGCTGTAGAACTGTCACAGATTATGGATCAAGGTGGAGGGATCCTGGAGCTTCACAAGGACTTGAAGATGCCCCATACAATGATAATGCCAGATTTTGGTAAGGAACTATAAATACAAATCTACTGCTTGCAAGATATTTGACCATTTTTTGGTTATTTTTCTTTAAAAACTGAAAAGGCTTTAACAATGTCTGATCACATAGATTATTAAGAGTAAGGATGTCAAAATAAATCTAATTTAGAATTTTTTATAAAGTTTATAAAAAAAAACATTAAAAAAAACATATTTGAATGCAAAAACCTGCACTCTTAATTTTTGGTGAGTCAAGAGGTGCGAGACAGGATGTAACCTGTTGCTTTATTTATTTTTTTATTATTTATTTATTTTTTTATTTTTATAAAAATGCTGCATTCCAGCGTCTAGAATGGTGCTAGACCCCAAACTCTGTGAGATGTGTCATTTCACATCACTTCTCAAATGATGGCTAGTTCTGCATCAGCAAGATAAGCATGGTGCTATGTGAAACAATATCAATAATCTAATGCTGCATTTCAGACACAGAGGTGGGAATTTCATCAGTAAAATGTCCCAATTCCAACTTTAATGTGCTGTAGTCAATTGTACATTGCAGTTGCATTTTCACCAGGTGTGATGTGAATATTTCATAAATTTTTGTGTTATTGGGTCAGGGCTTGACAGTGCGACCATTTTGCTTGAATTTGCAACTAAAAATAGATGAGCGCAAGCTGGAAAGTTTTAGTCGTACAAGTGCAATTAATATTTATTTTTAATTTTTTTTTAAAAATATTCATTTATTATTATTATTATTTTTTAAAAAATTATAAGCTTGATTGAGGACTTCATTCACTTTTGGCTATCTCTAAAGTGCTCTTCACACCAAGTTATGCTATATAATGTTTGAAATCTATTGTGACTGTAGCACACGCTGACGCTATCAGCAACGGCACAAACTGGTTTATTTACTTCATGTCAGTCGGTCTTTACGTTGTTTTGAATATGTTGCCAAGCAACGCATGCCACTGAATGGCGGCGTGTCGCACATCATGCAAGCTTCAGAAAACGTCTACTATTCGGCCATGGATGGCATATCGTGGCACATCCAGTGTAAGACCTAATTCAACACACAGTCTTTACCTGGGCAACCCGATTCTGTGTTCACGAGAAACTAAGAACACTCAGCCACAGACTCACATGCTCTGCATGCAGACCGACAGAGACGCGCTGGATTCAGAACTGCTGTTCTGACTTTGGATGTAGCTTTGAGAAGACCGCAAGGACACGAAGAACAAAAAAGCCTTTTACTAAATAGACTGACCCAGTTTGTTACTTGAGGTGACAATACATCCTCTTTTTCCCGGACATGTCTGAAATTCTGCTTTCGCTTTCAATACTAATTAATATAATTACCATTATTAGTTTTTGCATTATTTTATACGCAAGCTTTGGCCGTTGCGTCTCAGTATCTCAGCAGCACCAACACTACAGCAGAGAGAGAGAGCAGATTTGACCTGGATAGTAAGATTTTTTTACTGAAAGGTGCAGTAGGTGATCTTCCACAGTGCTAACAGCTTAGCACAAATCTCCGAATCACAGTCCCTCCCCTGCCATCTAGATCCACGCCTCCTTAAACACGAGCACAGCAAAAGAACCCTCTCTAATGTGTTAAAAGCAACTAGTGCTTGTCCGGTAGCGTGCAAGCCAAACTGACATGCTATTTTAGAGTGAATATTTAGAGTTGCACGGTAAACAATATTGTCCCTTATAAAACTGAAAATAGCCTTAGCTACTAAAATCTTCCAATTAAAAATTGATGAGCAACTCTTCTGTAAAGATTTAACCTATTTGTAACAACAACATCTAACGTTACATCAGCTTTGCATGAAGCTAGAACAGTTTTAAAACAGAACATTACCTGCCTAAGAGAAATCCTTCAGCCATTGTGTCATCCTTTCTCCAGCGTGCAAAGGTAACTTAAATATTGATTAAGGTTTTTAAAAAGTTTTGATTCAGCAGGTTTTTACCGATCGCGTGCACGTGCTCTCTTTCTCGTGAATGCACAGCACAAACAGCGATCGGCGGTGCTGCGTACAAACAGCTGCACAGTTGTTCAAATCTGCATTTGCTGACAGACAATTTGACCTACTTATCTGAATTATGAGAGATGTCAGCCTGACTTTATTTAATTGGATGAACATTTTTTTAGTTTTATACCTTACCCAAAATATAAAAATACATATAAACACATTTAGATCATTTACTTTAATCATTACTATTGGACTGTGAAGAGACTTTCAACCAGCACAACAAAAAATGCTTCTGAAGACAATCAACTACTGCACCTTTAAACACACTGAAAAGAAACACAGTGTCTTGTAAAAGGTGTTAAATGCTAAGATTTTTTTATTTATTTATTTGTCTGTTAAATAAGAATAAGAAGTCAGTAAGAAAATCTACTGTTGCTGAGGGCCATTAAAAGTTTAATAGAAAAGATAGTATTGCTTTGGGGCTCAAGGAAACTTTAATTCATTGAGGCATTCCCATATTCAGCTCTTCTTTAAAAAGCCCAGAAAGATAAAGTGCTCAGATAAACAGTGTCAGCTTTGCACATAAGTGTGTCGTTGTGTCTTTCTTTACATTGTCGTACTTTTCCCATGTGGGAAGTAGAGTGGAATCGGTGGGATATATTATACAAATAAATTAATTTTGATAATTCAAATTATTCTTGTCACATTATTTTATGTGCTGTGGAGAAAAGGCGTGTTTCAATCCAGCTACTGCAAGTATATTTCATAGTATATTAAAGGCCATATGTACAATATATTTTATTATAAAATTCTAAAAGCTAAATTTTATAAAGCTTAAATTATAAATAATTATCAAACGCTTTTTAAGCTGTTGTTACAGTAAAATAAAACCAATTGTACCTATTGTATTCAAATGAATGAAACTGCTTTGCTTCTAAAGATCTTATTTACTTTTTTCAGGCAAAAACACTTTCACTGCGCTACCAAAATTCTTTAATGTGCTCCTAAATTTTTCAACTTAGGAGTGCATGTGGTCTCTCTAAAAAAGTAACCGTACGTTCACACCGAAAGCGGCGAGAGCGTCATAGTAGCCGGAAGTCATTCATTTTCAATGAGAGCCGGCGGCAAGGAGCAGTGCGGCGCGTCTTCGCCGGCGTGAGCGTCGAGGAGAGTTGAAATGAAGTCAACTTTATGGTAATGAGCTATGACGCGGTTCGGCGGCAAGCAATCAGAATGAAGACGTCCATCGATTGATAGCAGTTCAGAGAACACAGACCTGTGAACTTTGGTTCCGACCACAGTTGTTCCCAAGGGTTTGATTATTGCGGTTGCCGGATTTTCAATTATTTACATTTTTTTTCCCAAAGGAACATACATTAAATAAGTTACTGGCGAGTTACTGATGTGCATTAATGTTATATAAATTTATCTTAAAAAAGCGGGAATCTCACGCGATGTGACAGTACAAAACAGTACTGCTGCTTCAGGATATTTCAGACATATGGACACATATTGGATAAATAGAGCAAAGCCACACCACACGCAACTTGATCTTCCATTGTTGTATGAATTTGATAAGAAGTGCGCAACATTTTCACGCTCGAAACATGTTTTATGCAGGAATGTAACTGATATGCTGCAACGGCTCCTTTAAATACTAGATCAATGTAGCGAGTTTTGACGCTCTCGCCGCAGGAGCTGAAGGCAGAGAGCGTTGTCGCCAGGGCGGCCAGAGCGACCTTGGACGCTCTCGCCGCTTTCGGTGTGAACGTACGGTAAGCGTCAAGCTTTGTGTGTTCTGGACTGCGATGTAAACATAAGGGTGCTTTCACTCCTAGACATTTGTTTTGGAACCTGGCACATTTGCCCTGTTAACGCAGTTCATTTGGGCATATGTGAAATGCCCACTTGCGCTCTGATCTGCGCCAAAACAATTGGTCCAAGAGTGCGCGAATGAGGTTGTCTTGGCTTAGTTGAAAAAACTCTGGAATGATGAGGAGGGCAAGATATCATTCCTACTGGTAAAAGTATGTGTTATGTTGAATACAAAAGTGAAAGTATGCTATTGCTAAATATGCTATAACTATTAACAAAAATAAATCCTAACGTGACTACTGATATAGAATAGGTAGAATAGGTTTTTGAACTATGTCACCCATAATCTTGTGTGCATTGCAATATTTCATACAGAACGGTTCTATTACTCTGCTAATTAATCATTTACACTCCGCTGTTATTGATGAAATGTGCAATCAGTGTAGACTGGCCACCAGGCTGGTCAAATTTTGTCATAAAACATCCAACTTTACCTCCAACCCCTGTATATTTCTGCAAGGATTTTCAACATTTTTAACCCTTGTAAACCGTTATGGCGTAATCACGTTCTGTGAATCATAACACTAGACACTGTATGTCTCACCTTGTGACATCACAAAGCGTGTGTCATTTGTTGTTTTTGCTAACCATAGCTGTTTGCAAACCCTGCCTTCCACTAATTTTTTCTTCACTCTCCTATTGGTGAAGTTTTTTTTCCCTCTCCGCTGTCGCCACTGGCTTGCATGGTTCAGGATCTGAAAAGCTACTCATCGATGAATTTGCTCTTCAGTGTTTGGACTCTCAGTAATGACTTCAAACCACACTGAACTAAGCTAAACTGAACTGAACTTAAACACTAAAAACTGACCTACCCTGATCCAGTTACTATGACCATTTATGTGAAGCTGCTTTGACACAATCTACATTGTAAAAGTGCTATACAAATAAAGCTGAATTAAATCATTTCTGTCTCTTATTATTGCAATCTGTTGCTTTGTTTTTTTTTTCAAATACACACACACAATCTCAAAAATTGACATTTATAAATGCATGTACAATCACACAAAGCAAAGCAGCACAATATTTACTAAAATAAATAAATCTGCTTGTGCAATAAACGAAATACTGGAGAAAAAAACACTTTAGTTAAAATAAAACAGATTTGTGTATAAAAATGCAACACTTTATTAGCAAATTTACATTCACTTACCCTCTCAGAACAAAGGCCTGATACAGAACAGTCCTTTTCACGCATAGAATCAAAGTACAAACAATCAAACAAAAAAGTAAAAACAAAAAAAATCTTGTTTAACACACATATGGCAGTGTGTATTTTTGTATGTAGACATATTGCTCATTTTGATATTATTGCAGGCATGAGTGGCATAGCCCACCTTGATGGTGAGCACATTGTGGTGTCGGTGCCAGAGGCTGTGATGGTGTCAGATGTGGTGACAGATGAAGAAGGCATCATGTTGGAGACTGCCCTAGAAGCTGAAGTTGTAGAAGAGCCTGACATCTGTCACGAGGACGTCATCACCACAGAGGGAGTGATCATGTCGGAGTCGATCCTTGGAGCTGAAGTGGCCATCCAAGAGGCTCTGAGTGGCACTGCGGATCTGATTGAAGAAACCGTGCCTGATCAGGTGTTTGTGGCTGAGCTCATGTCACCTCACATTCAAAGCCCACTGGACCACAACCTGGTGTCTGCAGAAGTCATGGTGACAGACGCGGACACGGTCATTGACTCGCACGACACCCTGCAGTCTGATGTCACCATTAAAGCAGATGATGATGAGGAGGATGTGAAAAGCACTTCAGAAGACTACCTTATGATTTCCTGTGAGTTTGCAGTTGCATGCTAGCTTTGATAGGTGCATAAATTCAATCAATCGAATCTACTGCAATGTTTGATCTTTGGCCTTTTTTGCAGTGGATGAAGTAGGGGGAAAGCTTGACATTGAAGACACCTCTTTAAAGATCAGTGCAGATGTCGGCCAAGATGATGACGGCTCAAAGGAGGATGAGTTCAGCTCGGAGGTCATAAAAGTTTACATCTTTAAAGCAGATGGAGATGAAGATGTGGAAATAGGTAAGAAGATCATTTCAAATCTTTGCTGAATGCAGTTCTGTTGACCCAAAAATGAAAAATAGCGTTTTGCTCACCCTTAAGTCATCTGAGATATATGTTTTTTTCTTCTGTAGGACAATAAAGAATTTTAGCTGCAACTCTCGTCATTGGTGATTCAAACCATACAAGTCAGTATTAGGGATGCTCTGATCGATCGGTCAGAGATCGGTATCTGCCGATAATCATATTTCATGACTCAAACGGTACTTGCTGATCTGAACTCGTGAACTGAAGTGTTTGTTTTTGAGTTTATAAGCAGAGTAAGGCCGTACTCACACTAGGTACAGTTGCCTCGAACCGGGCCAAAGCACGCTTGTCCCCCCTCCCGTCTCCCCCGACGGCCCGCGCTCACACCATATCGGGCCTCGGCATGCTTACGTCATCGCTGCTGCGCTGTTCAGAAGCGCTCTCTATGGCAAGCCTTTTTAGCATTTAAATCTTTGTTCTGACTCCATAAATATATTTAGAGATATCTCTAATTATATTTTGACTAGTCATAATTATAATTCGACTAGTCAGAATAACAATTAGAGATATCTGCAATTACAATTGTACTAGTGCGAAATCAGATTGGAGATATCTGCAAATATATTATGACTAGTCATATTCCTCCATTGACTTCCATTAAAAAATATTTGCAGATATCTCTAAATGAGTTTTGACTAGTCACAATTGTAATTAGAGATATCTCTGAGTTTTTACTAGTCATAATACATTTGGAGATGTCTTTAATTCATCATATTTAGAGATATTTACAAATATATTTGATATTTCTCTAATTAATTCACTAATAGTCGAATTACAGTTGTAGATATCTTAAATTGGATTTTAAAATTTTAAAATTGGAAGTAAAAACTAAGAGATATCTGCAAATATTTTTTCAATGGAAGTCAATGGAGGAATATGACTAGTCATTATATATTTGCAGATATCTCCAATCTGATTTCGTACTAGTACAATTGTAATTGCAGATATCTCTAATTGTCATTCTGACTAGTCGAATTATAATTATGACTAGTCAAAATATAATTAGAGATATCTCTAAATATATTTATGGATAGTCAGAACAAGGTTTAAATGCTAAAACGGCTTGCCATACGCTCTCACCCAGTAGCACAGTGGAGATTTCTCTAGTTATATCGTTTCAGTCGTTTGATATGCCGTCAAATATTTCGCCAAACAGTCCTTAGGGATGCGGGGACACGCAGTCAGATATTTCGCTGAACAGATCCACCACTTTTGGCGCTCATAAACAATCATAAAGCTCTCGTGCTGCAGGAATGAGGAGGTCTGCTGAAGGCGCGCAGCTGGCGTGCTGTGAGGAGTTTGCGTCTTTAATAAACTACGGCAGTTTGCATTCACTGAACAATAAGAATGATTAATAAATCCATATCAAACAGTCCCTTAAAAGTCACGTCTCGCGGGCTTTGGCGCGTTTTGCGCTCACATACAAGCGTACCGCGCCAAAGCCCAAGTGTACCGCGCTCAGGCACACCTCTTCCAACCGGGCCAGGGCCGGCCAAGTGAACCGTGCTTGAGCGCGATTCAGCGCACTCACACTTCTCAAACGATCCGGGAAACGGGCCTGGGCACGGTACGGATGGCATAGTGTGAGTAGGCCCTAAGAGGCAGGTGCAAACTAGGGTTGGATATTGTTTGGGTTTATTTCAATACCAGTGTTAAATCGTTACTTTTAAAATGATACCAGTGCCAAAACGGTGCCTGAATTGATACTTTTGAGCCACAAAATTATGGTGGACGACTCTAGAAAAATCTTTTATTTGACAAAATATTTTAAAAAATAATTTTATTGGAACGATATAATTAAGGTTTAAAGTAAGGTTTAAAGTTTAAAGTAAAGGTTTAAAGTTTTCAGTTCATTCCTCTATGAATCTTTAAAATCTCTTTGCAAGGGATCGTACAGGTGTGGTCTGTACTAGCTCTGCTTCTTGCCCCTTCACTGTATTCATGTGACTGGTGTTGTTGTTTTGGATGCACACCTTATCAGCCCATATGTTTTCTATGAGTGTGCACACTGCATTTGGTGTCTATCCTGGGGAAAATACAAAAAAAATTGTAAAGATGTGGCATGCCACAGTACTGGATCCTGTTTGTCTTTTACCTTTACAAACATCTTTTTGCCCTCATATGAAGAAAAAAAAACTTCCTTTGAAGTATACTGGGGCCATTAGTATTATGACCATCTGCAGTCAGAGGCGGCACAACATTTTTGACACAGATGGCTGCCACATATTTCTTTTCAAGAAGCCTTGAACTAACTGGAATTGTGCTATTTTATATTGTGTTAACATAAGCTAGTTCTTATAATGTGCCGGATGGAACCTGCAATACCTTGCAGTGTCAACCGAAGCATTATTTTTTTACTGAGCCAAGCATGTTTTTTGTTCTTTTAAAAAATAGTGCTATAAAAATAGTGTATTTTTAAAACACCAGTAGCATAGTAAAGCACTCAATGTCACTTTTGAACCATTCAATGACAGTAAAGGAGGACAAGACAAGTACCACACAGTTCAGCATTCGCTACATCTGTGCAGCAGTAATGCAGTCAATACACCAACCTATTGTGGTCATGATTTACGGCTCAGTGTATGTTCCTACCTTATGACCAAAAGGGCAAGATCTCGCATACAAGTAGCCAAAATGAGTTTCCTTTTCAGGGTGGCAGGGTGCATCCTTACAGATAGGGTGAAGAGCTCTGTAAACCCGGGAAGAGCTTGGAGTAGAGCTGCAGCTCCTCTACGTCAAGAGATGCCAGCTGAGGTGGCTGGGGCATCTTTTCAGATGCCTACTGGATGCCTACCTAGCAAGGTGTTCCAGGAAGGGTGGAGATCCAGGACCTCTGGAGGGACTATGGCCTTGTTTACACTAATATATTTTAGTTTTAAAATGCATAAGTTTTGCTACGGTTATGCAATTCGTACAAACTACGCCAGAGTTTTCAAGCACGGAAAACAGAGCTTTTTTTGAAGTACTGAAGAGGCTGTTTTCATTTTAAAATGCTGCTGCTTTGTGTCAGTGTGGATTGGGAAAAGGGAGACATCTAAAAACGGAGGCGGGGCTGCAGATATTCACCTGATTGGGACATTTTCCTCAATATTTAGTAGCTTACACAAAGTCCTGAACAAACTCCCGAAGACACGTCGGGTAAATCTTCAAAGGAAACAGTGTACTTTATGAGCTCATTTACCTCACCCTGGCTATGTTGTTTCACTATCTTAATAAATAAATTGAAGACATGATATAAGGAACCTCCTATTTTCATTTTGATATTAACAACTTAACAGACACCAGAAATCATGTAGCTGCATATATTTGTGACCATCATCTTCACCGTATGCAAATTTATAACAAAACGGAGCCTATAACATTACTGCCTCCTTTTATTTTCATTAAAAATATGAAACATACCCCATCTCTTTTGCTGAATATCAGTTTAAATAATCAGTAATGGATTGTTATAAAAGTATAACGCACAATAACTTTAAACAATATAGGAAATATAGGCAAGCAATCAGTCAAATGTGCAGAATCAGTGAACGTGGTTACATAAATTAATATATTAACTGCTGTACGTTTTCAGCAGTGTAGTGTGGACTGAGAGTTGTTCAGAAACGCTAGGTGAAACGCCAGTGTGGACGTGGATCGTTTTTATTCTAAAACGCTATTTTAAAACTAGAACGTATTCCTATAAACGGGACCTTTTTGTCTGTCGGCTTGCCTTTGAATGCTTTGGGGTTCCCTGGAGGTCTGAGGAGAGGAACGTTCTCCTGATATTGCTGGCCACAGATAAGCAGAAGAAAACGAGATGTGATTTATTTTAAAGATTTTTTTAAAGTGTAAATTCCATCAAATGTTTTATTTCCTCTTTTGACAATCTTAAGATTGTCTGAAGGTTATCCATTCTATTGTCAGATACCACTGTCACTTGGTTGCCCTCACCGACTGTCGTTTTTTGATTTTAGTAATGTGCCTATAGTAATAAAGCATAAAACAACCACTTCAATGGTTTTGGACTTGAGCACCAATTAAACCAATCAAGCACCTTTGTGATGAAAAAATGTCCTTGCATTACATGACATCTCTGCATTAAAATATTAGGCAAGCATTCACTTTGTTTGTTGTCACTATTTTTATTTCGATTTTTAGTTTGGTAAAGAGGAGACAGCAATGGCAATGTTGCCTAACTCAAACATTACCTACGTATGCATGAGATGCATTACCAGAAGCGCTGCAGGTGAAATCATGACATTGTTTATGCCGGTATTATTGATTGCAAATACATGATCTATACAGTATTTAGCCTAATGATGAGCAAACAAGTTTATCAAAAGTTAACTGAAATTTCCTTCTAAAGTCTTTTGTTCAGTTGATAATGCATTTTGTAATATTATAATATTGTTCTCTGCTAACACTTTAGGAAAAAGATTTACCATTCATCTGCTTCGTGTGTTGTTGAATGTTAAATTCCACTCTGCCCATCTTTTTTCATAATTAGTAGATGCAGCTTATCAAGTTCATAATTAAAAAGTGAGTTAAAACCAAGATGATTATATCCCATAATTTAAAAAAAATAGACACTATCTATACAGTTGCCATTTTAACAAGCTTTAACATTTTTTTTCTCCATTTTTAGGGCTACTTTCACTAGGCATTTTGGATGTATTTCAGGGTGTTTTTGTAGTCTGCTGCCTATGTCAGTCAGAAGCACAGGGTGGAGTACAAGTCAGATAAAATATGAGGCAATTCTCATTTCAATTTGAATGTAGCTGTTGTAATGACTTTATGACGAGAGCTCAATAATTCAAAATTAATGTTCAATAATAATACAGCAGTCATACACATTTTTACTACTAAACATGACTTCTATGATTTTCAGGTAAATAATCATGACCTAATGTTTTATATATATATATATATAAAATGAGAAAAAGGAACATAGAAATGAATTAACTAATTAAAATATGCATCAATCAATGCTGTATATAATGCAAAATAAATGATTGAGATAATTCTTTCTCAACACTTTCCGATAAAATAATGATGACAGCATGTGATCAGTCAAACACATAAAAGAAGTGGTTGCAACCACTTTCTCTCCTCGTGAATCACATTTAAACACTCACTATTACAATAATAACAATAGAAAATTGAAAACAAGTGGTAGAACTAAACTTCGTTCAAGTGACGAGATGACAAATAAAACATGACAAACCGTTTAGAATGCAAATTAAAAAATGTTTTATAAAAACTCTATTTTAATTATAACTAAACACTAAAAGGGAGGCTAAGTCAAATAAGCAACTATTTTCTAAAAATAAATATTTCAGTTTGGCTAAATCAGGATAATTCATTTCGGCAAAAATGTAAGTTAAAAGCTGAAGAATTCCATGTGAGCTCAGGAGCCCTACTAGTTCTACTCACTCTATGTATAGATCTTCTGGGAATTTCCATATTAGGGTTAAAGTGAAACCAGAAACAACAAGTCAAAAAGTCAAGAAGACAGGTTTTGTCATCATAAACAGTGGAACCGAACATAACTATAACATAACTTGTTTCTGATGCAAAATAGACTTTGGCAGGGCTGCCTGTTGTGACTGGTTCTGTTCATTATTTTAAGGACAGAATTTCTTGGCACAGCCTTGGGTCAGAGACAGTTTTTTTTTTTTAATATTTTCTAAATGATGTTTAACAGAGCAAGGGAATTTTCACAGTATTTCCGAAAATATTTTTTCTTCCAGAGAAAGGTTTATTTGTTTTATTTCAGCTAGAATAAAAGCATTTTTTTTTTCACGTTTTAGGGTCAAAATTATTAGCCTCCTTAAGCTAAATTTTTTCGATTGTCTCCAGAACCATCATTATACAACAACTTGCCTATTTAGCCCAACTTGTCTAATTAACCTAGTTAAGCCTTTAAATTGCCTTTTAAGCTGACTACCAGTGTCTTAAAAAATATCTAGGTAAATATTATGTACTGTCATCTTTTCAAAGATAAAATAAATCAGTTACTAGAAATTAGTTAATAAAACTATTATTTTTAGAAATGTGTTATCATGATCCCTTTAACATAAATGTGTTTGTGTTGTGTTCTGTTGTGTTGTAGGCAGCACTGAGGTGGTAGAAGAGAGTGATTTTCCTGGTAGGCACACTGTGATGGAGTCAGTGGGTTCAGGAAGGCTGCCCAGAGAGAAGATGGTCTACATGGCTGTAAAGGATGCCAACCAAGAAGATGATTTAAGTGCGTTCTGTAGGACTTTTACACTTCAAATTGTTAAAAATGTGTTATTCTGCTTTTGAAAATGAATTTTCTTCATTATTATTTTATTTAACATTTTTATTTTTTTTTATTGTTGATTTAACAGTAAATAAAGGTTCATTAAATATGTCTTTATATAGGGTTAAAATAGTATTTAGAATGGCGATTAACCCAGGGTTAAGCACAGTGGGAAAAAAAACACTCCATTTAGGAACAAGTACCAATGCTTATAGCCATTGAAAAGTGTATTATTTTTTTGTCACCTCTCCTTAATATAGACTGTTCGGAGATGACTGACCAGGTGTATATGGAGGTCATTGTTGGGGAAGAAGAGGCTCCTGCTATCACAGAAGCTCAGATGGAGGACTCACCAGTTAACAAGACCATTGTTCCTGCAGCCTGGGCAACTGCTTATGGTCATTTATTTCACTTTGTTGTAGCGGGAGATGAGAATTGCTTTGAATGCATAGTTCACCAAAAATGAAAGTTCTGGCTGAAATTGTAATTGCCTACTACCAGCTTAATGTAGTAATGGAGCATCAGAGATGTTGTACAGAGTACATGGTTTTTTAAGTTGAAGTTTGCAGGTGCTAGATGTGAGCACATTTGAGTTTCTGAATTTCTATTTATTATGATTTATAAATTCTGATTTATTGTCGGCTAAATACTTTTGACAAAATTGTTATGCTGCAAGAGACAGAATTTTCAAGATGGGTAAACTGTACATTTCAATGAAATGTAGCTTTAAAATTTCTATAAAGAAACAATATTATTTATTTTTCGTGCATTTATATCTTGTAAATGTTCAATCAAATTTCCTTACCTGTCATGGCTTTTCTACAGGAAGCAGTCTAGAAAGTAAGAATGGTGCTGCCACTCCCTACCTGCAGATCACTGACAGCATCAGCACAAGCCGAGCACTTAAGCAAAAGATTAAGAAGAGAAGGCGAGGAGAGACACGCCAGTGTCAGACAGGTATGAGTTTCTGTAAGTGCAGTTTGATCCAGGATGTTTTTGAACTCCTCTGTCTATGACAATAGAAAGTCGCATCTAAAATATATATATTTTTCTACATTTTTTATTTAATATTTTTCACTAACATATACATTTGGGTGTATACATTTTTGACTGTTATCATAAATCAGATTTGGCTTCAGTACTGGCTAATTGAATGTATATGCATAAATATATATATAGAAAAAAGATTTTTTTTTATAAGAGCAATCTCATTTGAATTTAAAGTGACAGTCACCAGATTGGCACAATTTTGATCAAAGAAGACAACAAGGTTTGTTTGAGCTTGGGTTGGCCATGATTCATTGCTGTGTGCATTATTTTGTATTACATAATTGTAATTGTACTTTGGCTATGAATTTAATAATGAATCTGTGTTTTACTTTAAGTCTAGCTCTATTTATTTGAACCCTTTAGGATCCCAAAAAGTGGTACGGTTTGCTATTTTTGTACCATTCACAACTGACAGTGGAAACATACATAATAAAACATTTTATACTGTACCAAACCATGCCTTACCACTTAGTGGAAACAAGCCATAATACTGGTGTTTAGTGTCAGTGATCAAATCAGATCTGGAATATGGTTCATCCAGACACCCTCATCATTTATTTTAAGGGTTTGTGTTTACATTAATATTCATTAGAACCCTCAGAGCATGAGTGAGTCAGCCAGTACATGTCAGGTCCAGTCTCATTTCCACAATCACTATCGGGGTTTTATCAGGCCTTCTTGAGGCATCCTCAGGAGAAATAGCCAGGGGTTTTAGGTCTACCAAATACTGTGAGCCAAAGCAGCTAAGCTGTAGCTTGATAATAGTCATGAACATATAACACACAATGATTTGCAATGCTAAAGGATACTTATACTAATGCTTGCCATAATAAATACACAATATTTTTTATGAAAATACAAGAGACTAAATTATTATTGAAATTGTCTATTTGTTTGTTTCATATTTCATTTGTATCTTCGCTGTGCCATTGTTCAAGCTAGACTTCAATATGTCCGTTTCCTCATGTGAGCTCCATCTGTTGCTTTGATTGATTGGATAACACTAGTATAATGGTACATGATAATAGTGAGATGGACAAATTATACAAATGTTCATTCTTCTTAAAATTAAAGCCCTAATGATCTTTTAGTTTAGTCTAGCGATCATAAAATAAAGGGATGGAGGGAAGCAGCAACCAAACCAGTAGTGCTTTTGTTTTTTCCTCACATATAAAAAATAATGCTCAATACTCCTATCAGGGTATGCATGTAGATTGCAGTTCAAGTTTGTATATTTATTTTTTTATTTATATAACAGGGAAGCGAGTTTTGGAGTATATGTATCTGACTGCAGTTTATGTATATCCCATGAATACCTGATGGCTGCAGTGTGCTCTCTCGCTCTTAAACACATTACAGCTGTTCGATGGTGCGTACACATCACTCCCTATTTGTGTATCTATGGTTAAGGCCTCCACAATCCATTCTGTCCCATCATGGATTAACATTGTTCATTCTAATATTATCCATGGGATTCCTGCAAAATGTTTAAACATAAATTGAAAAAGGCAAATAAATGTATCTTAATGTAACTTAAAAGTAAAAAGGACACATTAAGACCTGCTCACTGCTCACAAAAATAGTATCTTTCACAGTGAGTGTTATGGCTTAAGACCCACTAAGCTCACTGTAATTTGGCAAATACAGCTGTTGACCTTTTTCACAAGATGGTAATGATGCATTTAACGGTAGTAAGCATCTTAAATCCTTGAAAGTTTTTAATGTCTTCATTTATTTATTTTTGAATTTTTATTTCTCAGAGATATTTTGAACATGTTTGAAAATGTGATTTGATAGTTTACAGCGGATATTCACTGTCTGCATACACTGTAGATGCATACCTTCGAACAATTCTTGTAGAATCAAACAATGGCTAGGATCTATTTCACTAGAGTGGTTCAACATGGAATTTCAGTGTTTACCAAAGTGTTACTCTCCATGTGTGATGGCATTTCCCCAGGAGGATATACATGCATATATTTAATTATAATTCTGCATTAGTCTAAAAGAAGACAACACATAGGCGAATGTAATTGAGTTCTAGTAATGTTTCAATAAAAATTGCATTAATACACAAGTAACAGCCTTTAAAAGAACACTGGATACATGATTGTATGTATCTTAAGGGATTAAGTATAGATGGTATAGTCTTATTTCAAAATATAATACAGAATTGATTAATTTCAGCACATTGTCTTTCTTTGTTTTAGCTGTAATCATTGGTCCTGATGGGCAGCCACTGACTGTATACCCCTGCCACATCTGTGGCAAGAAATTCAAATCACGGGGTTTCCTGAAACGGCACATGAAGAATCATCCGGACCACATGTTCAAGAAGAAGTACCAGTGCACCGATTGTGAATTCACCACCAACAAGAAGGTGAGTTTCCACAACCATCTGGAAAGCCACAAGCTCATCATCAAGAATGAAAAGATCCCTGAGTACACCGAGTACACTCGCCGATATCATGAGGCCAGCCCGCTCAGCTCCAACAAGCTCATTCTGCGAGACAAAGAGCCCAAGCTGCACAAATGCAAGTATTGCGAGTACGAGACTGCCGAGCAGGGTCTTTTGAACCGCCATCTTCTGGCCGTGCATAGTAAAAACTTTGCACATGTCTGCGTAGAGTGCGCTAAGGGTTTCCGCCACCCCTCTGAGCTTAAGAAGCACATGCGGACTCACACGGGAGAGAAACCTTTCCATTGCCAGCACTGCGAGTTCTCTTGTGCCGACCAGTCCAATTTAAAGACTCATATTAAGAGCAAACATGGGACGGACCTGCCCTTTAAGTGTGGACATTGCCCACAGGCGTTTGCGGATGACAAGGAGCTCCAAAGGCATGCTGAGATATTCCAGGGTCATAAGACTCACCAGTGTCCCCATTGTGAACATAAAAGCACCAATTCCAGTGATTTGAAACGTCACATAATCTCAGTACACACTAAAGACTTTCCGCACAAGTGCGACGTGTGTGAAAAAGGCTTTCACAGACCCTCTGAACTGAAAAAACATTCGGAAACCCACAAGGGGAATAAAGTACACCAGTGCCGGCACTGTGATTTTAAGACGTTGGACCCCTTCACACTAAGCCGCCATATTCTTTCTGTTCATACTAAGGACTTGCCGTTTAAATGCAAGCGCTGCAAGCGAGGTTTTAGGCATCAGAACGAACTTAAAAAACACATGAAAACACACAGTGGCCGCAAGGTTTACCAATGCCAATATTGCGAGTACAACACTACAGATGCTTCAGGTTTCAAAAGGCATGTCATATCAATCCACACTAAAGACTATCCCCACAGGTGCGATTACTGCAAGAAGGGTTTCAGGCGGCCATCAGAAAAGAACCAACATATCATGCGACATCACAAGGAAACCCTGTTATAACGATCTTTAAACTACAAGACAAGATCTGACGCTGTCATTTACATGGTGAAATTGAAAAAATCCTTATTTAATGGTCTGCTAATATGTAAAAAACATAAATCAAATTTGAGGCGGGTATAAGTGGTTAACAGTATGGTCATGTCTGTTTTTGTTTTGTCTGCATAGAAAAAGTTAGGAAAATGCTCATTCTCCAGTGCCTATATTTTCTACCCACTTTGATTTAATTCAGTAAGCAAATACTAATCCTCAACAACAATTGCCCTACAATAAAAATTGTCATTATTTACTTGCCCTTGTGTTGTGCCAAACAGTGACTTTTATATTGAGATAGCATAAAAGCAGTGCCACATAAAACTTGTGCTGCTTTATTTCATTGCAGCTTAGCATCAGAAAGGCTAAAACCGCAACATAAAGGCATCATAAACTTAAGCTTTTCTATTTTGAGCACATGTTGGCAAATGTTTGAAAGCCGGATAAAAATATTCAAATAATTATGTGTAGCATAGAAAACGGTTTGAAATAACTCAAGGGTGAGTAAACGATGATCAAGTTTAACAATAGGTGTCATGATAGATGCCATATTGAATTGTACACGGATGTAAATTAGGCTAGACTCACTGCACAATGTAAAGATCCTACATCACTCCTCAACTTTACAATTCACATTACACAAGGTTTATGTTCTTGCAAACGAATATTTTAAAAATATGTTTTGTCAGCTGAGCATTTGGCATTTTGTCAAACATCCGCACGATCCACTTAACTAGGCTTTTTTTTTACATCATATTATGAATTAAATGTGCTGTTTGCTAGTTTTTTTTCTTTTGGCCGAGGACAATAAATAATTCAGTTATCTATGGTATGTTTAACCATCATGATGTTAATTTAAACAACTCTTGTAGTTATCAGAAATTGTGCTGTTTAAACCAGTATGTTTTTTGAGGACTTTCAAACCATTTGCTTCTTGCGATCCTGGTGTCTTGATTGATTCTTCACATATCACTCTGTGTTGTTAACTTTGTGAATACTGTTGCACATTTTAGTGTATATGTACAATGAAATGTTAACAATGCGATGAACATGCACATACTGCCAATTATTTAGAATCTCTTGAGTCATGCCTTACATCTGTTTTTGCACTGAATTCAGCAAGTATAAATCACTTGTGAATATTTTAACAAGTTTCAGTTATGCTACGATAGATACGATACATTAACAAATGCAAATCAACAAAAGAGCTTTTACAACTTTTGCTTTTATAATGTCGCTACTTTGTTGGTCATTTTTGGTGGGTGGGCAAACATTCACATCCCAAAGAAGCCATTCCCCTTCCAGAAGTATTTGTGCGGGGAAAAAAACTCAGTGCTTAACAGGCATGTCTTTATATACCAGTGACTGGCATAGCTGTTGACTTCTTTTTATGTCTGTAGTTAACAGCAGTACCCTGCAACTATAGTGCAGTAAACCATACATGGTGAATTTTATTAATAAGAAGAGGTGAAGAGAGTCTGTTTTAATCTATTTTATTGTCAGACACCCAAATGTAGTAGTCACTCTAATGGATAAAAAAAAAGTACTAAAGGCGTCACTGTTTTTTTTATCAGAACACTTTTTATAATGTGCTGTGGATTTTCATCAGATGTCAGTAAACAACCCAAAGTAATCAACAAAACTACTTGCTTTTGAAATTAAGTGAGTGATGTGTAATTAAATTAAATGACACAGGGAAAAAGTATTGAACACACGAAGAAAGGATGGTGTGGAAAGGCATGGAAAGGCTAGACAGCAGCGGAAATCTCACAGCCAAAGAAACTCTTAGCTGGTTTCAGACAAAGAAAATAAAGCTGCTAGGAATGGCCCAGACAACCACTTGACCTGAATTCAATCGAAAATAAGAACTAAAGATTAGAGTTGATAGACAAGAACCACAGAACTGTCAAGATTTGAAGACTGTTAATGTATCGGGGGGGAAATCACACCTGATCAATGCCTGTAACTCCATTCTCCATTCAAGAGGAATCTGGAATCTGTCATTACTTTTATACAAAGTATTAAAATACATTTAAGTTGTTCAGTACTTTTTTCTTAAGTTATTTCATTGTTATTGCACATGACAATTTCAGAATGAAAAAACAAAATTTTGGGTATTGTTCGGGGTTTTGCTGAAATCTGGTACAATTGCACCTCAGCAGCACCTTTAGAATATGTGTTTACAAGAAAAAATTGGGACTGATCAATACTTATTTTAACTGCTGTATGTAAAACATAAGCTCTGTCTCATAAGAACACGTTTTAAGATTGCAACAATAGAGGATTGAAATCTTCAGTTCTGAACAATACGTTCTGTTTCTTGAAATTACAGAACACCCCTTCTAACAATTGACATCATGACAGAAATATTGCAATTTCAGTATCAAATGGATGTTGCAAATCTAACCTTTATTATTATTATTATTATTATTGTGATGGCCATCCTTTGTTCACAATTGAAACGGTTGTATTAGGTTAATGCTGTGAAACAAAACTGTTTAATTGATTATGTAATCATAACTTTTAGGCGTAGTTACAGGCTTCATTAAGTGAGACCTGTAAACTGGAGAGATAAAGCAATTTACAAATTATTAATATGCTTAAATTATGAATTAGGCCTATTACTTTTGTGGTTTTTTGAATAATTCCAACCTTAGTTCAAAACTCACCTGCACATGCAGTTGTTTGGCAGATGCCTAGTGTTGAAAATTATGTGAGCAGTACAGATATTGCAGTGTTTGTTAATGTTGTGATTGGGTACTTGCATAATCCATGAAAATAAAATTAATGCATTTCCTTGACTTTCTTTTTGCTATTGGCAACCAATGGACTACTGGTGAGGCGGTAATACATCTTTAGTTTTGTTTTAATTGATTAATGTATTTATGTATTTGCTTCAGAATTGTTTTGCACTCTGGTGTTTTATTGACATTCAGCAAATGGCACTTTTCAGATGTATGAAAAATAAAAACAATGAAAATTGAACTCCATCTACTTATATATAAGAGTTGTATTATGCTATTAAAGTGGTCAATTGTAAATGCTGTACTCTGTTGCTCTTCTATACCCTTATTGATTGTATCAGTGAGTTCAATAATTCAGTAGTCCGGGAATTAACCGGAGAAGACATTTTAAGGGTGGCCTTGACTACAAAATCCTTTATGTGCACTCCATAATAATAATAATAATAATAATAAAACATGATAGCTTTCTCTTAAAATTTTGAAGAATAAAACAAACTCCATCCAACTCAAACATCTTTCATTAACACAAAATGTCAACCAATGCAAATCATCACAGAAAAGGTGGACCATTTTATAGTAATAGTAAAAATATTTTACAAACGCTTGAAACAAAACGGACTGTGTATATTTCAAAACAATTGTGTGTCTGGGTAGCTGAAAATATTTATTCCATTCTGTCTCCAGAGCTAAAGTGTAACTAGAAAGAAGTTAGAGCAACCCAAATAAATGAACCAGCTCATCTGTAAGTGACATCAACTGGATTCTTCATGACAGACATTGTGTCGTAGACATCTTGCAATGATTGATGATGATTGATTGATATTTATCTAGTTTATGTAGAGATAATTCCCTTGGTTTGTCTCAAATATTAACATTAATTATATTATTTATATAAATATTGGGGTTTTGGGTAATTATTAGTTGATTGTCTGGCCAAACTAAAGGATTTGTGAGATCATCTGACTTGTAGAGCCTCTTACTGAGAATACAAACACAAGAAAGACACAAGAAATTGTAATAAGCATGTATTTATTAACAAAAGAATAAACAAGTATACGGTGCATGCATAGTGCTTCACTTTTTCCACATTTTTTTGTTACAGCCTTATTCCAAAATGGACTCAATTAATTCATCACCTTAAAATTCTACATGCAATGCCCTATAATGACAATTTGAAAAAATATTTCTGGAAAATTGTTGCAAATTTTATTTAAAAAAAAAAAGAAAGAAAAATTACATGTACATAAATATTCACAGCCTTTCCTCAATATTTTGTTGATGCACCTTTGGCAGCAATTACAACCTTCCAAAAAGTATTTTTGAATATGATGCCACAAGCTTGGCACACCTGTCTTTGATTTTTTGCCCATTCATTTTCGCAGTACCTCTCAAGCTCTATCAGGTTGAATGGGAAGCCACAGTTTACAGCCATTATCAGATCTCTCCAGAGATATTCAATAGGATTTAGGTCTGGGCTCTGGCTAGGCCGTTCAAGTACATTTATCAAGTTGTTATGAAGCCACTTCATTGATATTTTGTTGGTGTGCTTTGGGACATCGTCCTGCTGGAAGATAAACCGTCACCCCAGTCTGAGGTCAAGAGCACTCTGAAGCAGGTTTTCATTCAGGATGTCTCTGCATATTGCTGCATTCATCTTTCCCTCTGTCCTGACTAATCCTCCTGTTCCTGCTGGTGAAAAAAATCCCCACAGCATGATGCTGCCACCACCATGCTTCACTGTAGGAATGGTATTAGAATGATGATGAGCAGTGCCTGTTTTATTCCAAATGTAACGCCTGACATTCACTCCAAAGAGTTTTAGCCTCATCAGACCAGAGGATTTTGTTTCTGTGAGTCCTTCAGATGCCTTTTGGGAAATTCCAGGTGGATTCCTGGTCAGATGGTTGTCCTTCTGTAAGGTTCCCCTTTCTCCACAGAAGAACATTGGAGCTCAGACAAAGTGACTATCGGGTTATTGATCACCTCCCTGACTAAAGCCCTTCTCCCCGATCACGGAGCTTAGATGGCCTGCCGGCTCTAGGAGGAGTCCTGGAGGTTCCAAACATCTTCCCCTTATGGATGATGGAGGCCACTGTGCTCATTGGAACTTTTTAAAGCAGCAGAAATTTTTCTGCTACCTTCCCTAGTCTAATGCCTCGAGACAATCCTGTCTCGGAGGTCTACAGACAATTCCTCTGTCTTGATGCTTGGATTGTGCTTTGGCATGCACTGTCAACCCTGGGACCTTAATTAAACAGGTGTAGCCTTTTCAAATCGTGTCCAATCAACTGAATTTACCACAGGTAAATTTTGAGGAAACAATGAATTTAATCCATTTTGGTATAA